GCACAACTGCTTGGGCCTGCGCCAACCTCACAATTGTTGCCACACTTGAGCCCATTGATGCTGACACTTTGCCAATCAATCTCATTGGGGGGTTTTCCTCTCCTCTGACTCTCCACCTTACTAAACATGATATTCTTCTCCAGTGACCGGTCCCTCCTGACAATATAGCCAAAGTATGAGAGATGGAGTTTGGCCATCCTGGCCTCCATTGAGCGATATGGCTTCACTTTTTCCAAAACAGATCTGTTTGTTCTTTTGGCAGCCCATGGTACTTTCAAGACTCCAGTGTTAAGGTAGGTAAATTTATGATTATTGTACACTGAAGAGCTGTCTAAGACAGACAAATTGGATATTGAGGGTTGGAAACCAGACTTTAAAAGTTAGAAATTAGAAAATGCAAATTGGCTTATCAGAAAGGAAACCAATGTAAGAGCACAGGTAAATTTTCCTATGTATATCAGAAATTAATACTCAGTAACATTACATTTTTCAAAACATTTATCATGGAATATTTCTAGGGGGAAATCTTGATTCATAAATAGGACAATTAATTATTAAATTTGAAAATTCATTTTTATTAGTTACTTAATTTTCTTCTTAGCAAGAAAATTTACTCATTTGTTTTTCAAACACTTTAGATTTTTAGACAAATTATAGAGAGCACATATCCTTTTACTGTGTCTAAGTTTTTGCCTTTCCCAGAATGTCAGTAAGTTGGTATCATAAAGCATGCAACTTTTCAAACTCTTTTTTATTTTGCATAGCAACATGAATAGAAAGTTCTTTCATATTTCTTTGTAAGCTGCTAGTTCATTTATGTTTATTATTGAATAATATTCTTCCATTGTGTGATGTGCCATTGTTTATTTATACATTCATTTACTAAAGGACATCCTTTTTTTTACCCCTACCTAGAGATTTGTTGCTTTTCCTTAACAGTTTTGTTTGACTTTAGCTGGTAAATTGAGCATAATAATTAAAAAAAAAAAACAAAAAAAAAACTTTAAATAAATGAAAGGACAGTTACAGATAATAAAGTAATTGGAATAGATTGCAATAAAATGACATAATTATAAATGGCTGCAGCTGTATGAAAAAAAAATTAGCATAGTTATTATAAATCACAAAGCAAGAAAAGCAAAAATTAATTTAAAACATTTGTAATGGTAAAGAAAATTTCACAATTAAAACTTCAATAAAACAACAGCAATAATTCGAATGCAATTTGGTAAACTATTCAGATACAACCAAACACTTCATGAGGATTGTTATATTGGCTCAAAAACTCAGGGTTATGGATTCTTAATTATACCCTGTCAAGTAGCTTAACATTTTTAGAGTTCCTTTTCTACTCATCTTACCAGTTCTCTAAGTCATTACAAGGTCTAAAAATTAGGAGTCACTATCCAAGATACCAAGGAGTCCTGGTAGCTTAGTGGAGTATGGCTTGGAATGCTAACTACAAGATCAGCAGTTTGAATCTACCAGCCACTCCCAGGGAGAAAGATGAGGCTTTCTCTTCCAGTAAGATTTACAGCATCAAAAACCCTATGCAGGGTCGCTATGAGTTCAGACTGACTCCATGGCACACGACCACCATCCAAGATACCACAATTGGTCTCCATTTGCCTGAATCAAGAGAGGAATGATACTAAGAAACCAGAGAATGAACTGGAATACAAGTGTAGTTGCTGCTGGAAGTTACTACCTACTGTCATGATACTAGAATGGGAGGTTCTAGGCTATTATTATTGTTAAGCGCCTTTGAATCGGTTCCGACCCAAAGCGACCCTGTACAGGGTTTCCGAGGCTGTGAATCTTTATGGGCGCAGAAAGCCTCATCTTTCTCTCACGGAGCAGCTGGTAGTTTCAAACTACTGACCTTGCGGTACACAGCCCTATTAGTAACCACAACGCAACCAGAGCTCCTTAGGCTATTATGACTGACCTTTTAATCAAGGACTCATGAAAAGTAACCTGATCAAAAGTTGAAATATATGAAACAAAACTTCAAGTTTTTAATATAATCCATATTTACTGGGTGCACTGAGTCTAGAGGAACCTTTGACTCTGTTGCTCTTAGAAATGTTCAAAACATACAGCTGAAACTATAGACGTCATCTACAAACCAAGAAAACTTGCTAGCTGAATTACTGAATGAGCATTGTGCTCTTTAAAAAAATATATTAATATTAAATCAAACTTACAACAGTTACTCTGTGGTATAGATAAGTAGTTTGTTGTTGTTGCTAAGTGCCTGTCGAGTCTATTCACACTCATAGTGATCTTGTATAGGGTTTCCAAGGAGCAATTGGTGGGTTTAAACTGTCGACTTTGTGGTTCACAGTCCAGTGCTGACCCTGCCAGGACATAGGTAGTTTATAGGGTAGTGAACAGAGGTGAAATAATATTGGGAGATATCATGAGAATGGTGACACAGCATGAAGACTATGCTTAATGTCATTGAGCTTTACATGCAGAAATTGATAACTGGATGTATAAGCTGATGTGCATATTTTGGCTCAAAAGAAAATGAAAGTGTTCTAAAATATCAAAAAAACATAATTTAGTTTCTTATTGTTTCCCAGATGGACATTGTAAGCATGAGTCCATGTAGTGCCACAGTTACATATTCCAATTTTAAATGTTTAAACAGAATTAATATTTGGGTAGAGAACTGTTAAAAAAAAAAAAAAGTTCATTATAATATGAAATATTTAAAGGAAAAACAAGCAAACATAGAAACTCACTGCCATCAAATTGATTCCAACTTATAGTGAAACTACAGAACAGAGTAGAACTGCTTTCTTGGGATTGAGATTGTATATCTTTATACGAGTTGGTAAAATTCATCCTTCTCCCTTTGAGTAGCTGGTCAGTTTGTACAGCCAAACTGTGGTTAGTAGGCCATTGTTTAATTCACTGTGATACCTGGGCTCCTTATTTCAGGGAAAGCACACATAAATGAACTGAATTTAGGAAGTGGATGATTTGAATTAATTATTTTACTTTTAGGAAGGATGAATAATGTCTCAAATAAGTCTGGGCAGGATTCTGTTTATTCATTAAATATAGGTATTATTATAGATTATTATTTTAGGTAGAGTAAATATAAAAGAACAATTTGCCTTTCATAATTTGCATCCGCTGAAAGAAATCCCTGGATGGTGCAAAGATTTGTGTTCAGCAATTATCCTGGAGGTTGGTAGTTGGAATTCACCCAGTGGCAGTGTGGGAAAAATGACCTGATGATCTGCTTCCATAAAGATTGTAGCCCCAAATACTTAATGGATCAGTTCCACTCGCTAAAACTTGGGATTACCATGAGTCAGAATCAAATCAACAGCACAAGAAAACAGCATACTCTGAAAAGGTAAATTAAATGAGTGTTTTGTACAATTTGCTTTTCACTGAGGATTTGGAAAAAAAACAATATTAAACTCCGTATATCAGATGTTATGGCCAAACACATTTTTTTTTTTTACATAATTCCAAAGATATCCATACATATTAATGAATATTTGATCCATTTATAAACACAGTTTTGACACACTTAGTTAAAAATAAATTCAGAAGGCTATTCCAGAGAATATAGTGTGAACAGATAATGAAGAAACTATTTCCCTTTAAATCACTTAAAATATTTAATAAACTATGTAGAGGAAGATAAAGGAAGCTATGCCATTATTTTCAAGGAACATACATCAGAAATTTGATTTATGTGATCAAATTTAGATATAAAACACTATCAAAGTGCACCGAGTCAGGTTTTTTATTCAAACACTTTCAAAGCCTCATGAATATGAGTTATGTGGACCTTTCACAGCTGCTGACAGAAAGGGAATCTGTTACTGAGCATATCTGGGAAGCTTATTAGGATTTGTAGTTGCTTTTATGCCTTTATCCAAATGTGTAGAAAAGAATGAAGATGTGAGTAAAATTAGTGAGAACGTAAGATCCACAATTTCCAGAAACAGAACAGGAGAGGTTCAAATCAAACTACTATTTTAGGTGTCTTCAGTTCCTTTCATTGTTTTAGCATAAAGATGTTGAAAATAAGTTACATCAGCATATTCTTAAAAGTAAACAAATCTCATGTGTTTATAACCAATGTACAATTTATCCCTTATAGAATTTTGCTGTATCTCAGTTACTGTTCATAATTTGATTCTGAATTCCTTGGCTCTGGTAATTATGTGTCAATGACTCATTTCTAACTCATACCAATCCTGTATAGGGTTTCTGAGGCTGCAAATCTTTACAACAGCAGAAAGCTTCATCTTTCTCCTGGTAGATTAGAACTGCTTACCTTGAGGTTTGCAGCCCAGCTCATAATCCACTATGCTACAAAATATCCTTTGTGAATTACTTGAATCCGACATATTGATTTCAGTTCTAATATGAAAAACTTCTGTACTTTATTCAAATGCAATTGTCCCCCACTTCTCAAAAGTTCACTTTTACAAAAGATGTACATTATTGCCTGCTAACGAAAAGAAATCCTAAGTTTTTTTTGCTTTCACAATAAAAGGAGAAAGTCAGAACTAATATTCAGCATTATTTTTGTGACAAATTCTTAAGGAGGCAGCTCAGTACATCTAGAGCCAAACATAGCCTAGCCATGATCTTTCCCAAGGCACTACGCTCAGCATCTAAGCATGAAACCTCCATAGATTTCAAATCTCTGTGAACACTATACATCAGTGTTATTTTAGGTCTATTGTGCTAGTTAATAAAATTGGTAAGCCCCTTTTTGGTCTGGCTGTGATCAACATATTTTCCCATTTAAATAATAATAATTGCTTCCTTGCTATATACCATTTTGGTTTCTAAAATTTCTTAAATGCTCTACTTTTGTATACTATGGGAAACCTGTAATCCCATAACTCGATATACCAATTTATCCCTTAAATGTATGAAGCTTTTGTTCCTTCTGCTTGGATACTCACATCTTTTCCTATGTCTTATAATCCCAGGGAGACTGCACCATATTAGCAGACATGGACAATACCACCATCATCACAGAATTTATCCTTATGGACATTTCAAGTTCTAGGAAACTCCAAGTCTTGCAGGGTCTTTTGTTCCTAGTAATTTATCTGGGATCTCTGACTGGAAATGTACTCACTGTTACCGTTATTGCTATAGATCCACATCTTCACTTTCCAATGTACTTCTTTATAGCCAATTTATCATTTGTAGATGTTTGCTATATCTCAGTTACTGTTCCCAAATCAATTATAAATTCTTTAACAGGCAAGAAATTAATTTCTCTCCCAGCATGTGCTGCTCAGATTTTCCTGATTCTTTCCTTTGGAATCACAGAGCTGGCCTTTCTTGTTGTGATGTCCTATGATCGCTATGTTGCCATCTGTCACCCATTGCACTATGGGCTCATTGCCACTCCACGTATGTGTGCACAAGCAGTAGGGGGATCCTGGGCCAGTGGGCTGGTCTATTCAGCCATCCATACAGGGAGCATATTCAGACTTCCATTCACAGAGTCCAATGTGATCCATCAATATTTCTGCGATATTCCTCAAATTTTGAGAATTTCATCCTCTTATGTGAAGTTTTCTGAGTATGTTCTGATTGCTGTTAGCTCAAATATAATTTTAGTATGTCTTATCATTTTATTTATGTCGTATGTTAATATATTTTCAACTGTGCTTAATATGTGCTCTGCAGAAGCCCGTAAAAAAGCCTTATCTACCTGTACCCCACAACTGGTGATACTCATTCTATTTGTAATTTCTGCACTGATTGCTGCCTTAGGTCCCCTCTCAAATAAGGCATCTCTTAAAAATCTTCTCATTGCCATGTTCTACACCATGGTTCCCCCATTCATAAACCCCATCATCTTCAGTCTGCGGAATAGGGATATTAACATTGCTCTTAGAAGAATGTTCAACAGGTATTTTCATTTCTCTGTCAGAACTTTTCTTGATTAAAATAAAATTTAAAACAAAAAACTTTAAAGAGATTTAGTTTTATACAATACAAACTTAAAAAGACAAAAATTATACAAAGTTCACTCTTTGCATAAAAAAGGAAACTAATTGACCTAATATTTATACTTGATCTTATACAAAGGGCCAGTAAGTGATTGACCTAATATTTAAATATGAGTATTATAAACAAACATTTCCATTGATTCATTAGATTAATGTATTACTAATGCTAATATCCATGTCTTGAGATACATTTCAATTGTTTTCTAAACAAAACTAGTTATAGATTTATTTATGGGTATAATTATTACCATTTTTGTATTTTATTGTTACTGATGCTGTTCAGTGTCATCAATTTGATTCCAACTCATAGAAACCCTATTTAGGGATTCTGAGAAGTGGCTGGTTAATTTGAACTACCAACCTTGCTGTTCAAACCTATCTTGCAGTCCAGTGCTTATCCTAAAGCAATATACCATGACCCCATTTTTATATATAAGCAACAACATATTTTAGTAATTAAAAAACATTGGCATTGGTGTTTGAAAAGCTGAAATATAATCACTGGTGTATGTCCACATTTCTCCACCTACCCCTTGTATCCCTTATTCTAACATGTGTACAGCATTTGCAATTTTCTTTCATAGTTTTTATTGTACAAATGTCTAAAATGCATTAGTTGTGACTTTATTTTTATAGCTGTGTCTGTGTATAGGTATTTACATGTGCAACAATGTATTTAATGTCTATGTCTCTACATAACAAAAATATTCCAAGGATAAAATGTTGATAAATTGTCACATATATGGCAAGAAATGAACATATTTTGGTTAATATCTGTATTTTCTTAGTAAATTCTTAGTGAACTCACAAACAGTTCTGGTTTTCTTAGGCCTGAGAATTTTTGTTGATACTTGACATGTAATAAAAAAAAAAAAAAAAAAAAGAATCTCAAAGTTTCAGTCTTCAGCATGGGCACTTAACAGTAATCTACAGTTTTCACCAGACAAATATTAAAATATTCCATTGAAATATAATAAACCAGAGTATGGAACTATAGGAAAGAAGGAAGGTTGGAGTGAAATGAGAACTCAGTTATGTGAATAACTTTCAGTGTCACGAAACAAATGTTTCAATCACAAAACAAGGCCACTCCTTGGAAATCCTGTACGGGATTACTGTGGCTCAAAACCACTGGACAACACTTAGCAACAATAACATCTTACTCAAGATTGCAACATAATAGAGTGAACAGTTTTGTGGCAACTACTTATCAAATACAATGCATTCAATAAAACTTAACAAAAACAAACTCGAATGATAAGTATAGTGGTGGTAGTGATGTGCTGTGGAGTCCGTTGGTGCTGTGGAGTCTGTTCTGATTCATAGTGACCCTGGATAGGGCTTCAGAGGCTGTAAATCTTTAGGGAAGCTGATTCATCTTTCTCCTACGGAATGTCTGGTAGTTTGGAACTGCTGACTTTGAGGTTAGCAGCCCAATTCACGACTACTAAACTACCAAAGCTTCTTAAGCACATGTACAGAAAACTAAAACATTTTAAAGAGGACTTTGTACATAGACATGTGTAGGCTAATACTGTGCAACATGTGGAACAAATAATAGCTGATTCCATTCCATCAGTTAAAAATCCAAGTCATAGTGAGCATATGAGAGCACAGCAGAACTGTCCCAAAGTTATAGTCTTTATTGTTGCTTTCTACCACATCGTGCCCCCTAAAGGCAGGTAGTGGGTTAAAACCTCCTTCATTGTGGTTTGCAGTTCAGCAATTAATCACTTTACCATCAGGGCTCCTTAGAAAACCAGCCCACTGCAATTGATTCTATAGGACACAGTAGAAGTTCTCTTTAGGGTTTCTGCAGTTGTAGATCTGTATGGCAGCAAAAAACAAACAAACAAAAACAAAGCCTTCATCTTTCTCCCGTGGGGTGGTTGCTAGGTTGTTGAGTTTGAACTAATCTTGTATTTAGCAGCCCAGCCCATTGCTTAACCGACTGTACCACACAGGGTCCTAATATATGAATACATATTGAAAAATAAACAGAGAGACTTTAAGAGAGAATGGGATATAATTACCTTCAAATTATTGTTATTGTTGCTAAGTTGTTCTTGTTAAATGCCATCAAGTCAGTACTGACTCATAGCGACGCTGTGCAAAACAGACTAAAACACTGCCCAATCCTGTGCCAACCTCAAAATTGTTGGTATGTTTGAGCCCATTGCTGCTGCCACTGTGCCAATCCAGCTCATTGGGAGTTTTCCTTTTTTTCTCAGTCCCTCCACTTTACTAAACATGATACACTTCTCCAAGGATTGGTCCCTACTGACAATATGTCTGTCTGAACTTTGAGAGACGAAGTCTGGCCATTAGGGTTTCCAAGAAGCATTCTGGCAGTACTTCGTGCAACACAGATTGGTTTGATCTTTTATCAGCCTGTGGTACTTTCAGTATTCTCCTCTAAAACCATATCTTAAATGCATTAATTCTTCTCTGGTTTTCCTTATTCACTATCTAACTTTCACATACATATAAAGTTACTGAAAATACCATGTTTTTTGTCAGGAAAACCGTAGTCTGACATTTCTGCTCTTAAACATTTTTAAATAGTCTTGTACAGCAGATTTGCCTAATGTAATAAATAGTTTAATTTCTTGACTGTTGCTTCCATGAGTGTTAATAGTTGATCCAAGCAAAATGAAATCATTGATAAATTCAATCTTTTTCATATAGATGTTTTTTTTATTGATCCAGGGATGAGGATTTTTTTCTTCTTAACATGGAGGTGCAAGACATACCTAAGGCTGTGGTCTCTGATCTTCACCTGTAAGTATTTTAAATCCTCTTCATTAGCAAAAAAAAACAAAAAAAAAACAGGTTGTATCATCTGCATATGGCAGGTTGTTAATGAGTATTTCTTTAATCTTGATGCCACATTTTTATCAAATAATTCAGTTTCCTATTCTGTGCTTAGCATACAGACTGAATAAGTATGTTGAAAGAATACAACCCTGGCACACAACTTTCCTAATTTTAAACTATTCAGTACTCCCTTGCTTTATTTTATGTAAAAGACAGTGATTTACAAATGTTGTTTGGTATTCTTAAGTAGAAGACCTGGTATGTTACCATAGGATAAGCACTGGACTTCTAACCACAAGGTCAGCTATTCAAACTCAGAAGCCACTCCTCAGAAACACTATATAGTGTAGCTATGAGTCGGAAATGAATTGATGGTACTTAACTGTTGCAGACCGTGTAAGCCTGGTCAGAGGTTCAAGGCCCTATAGGCCCGAGTGTTACAGGTCGCAGGCTCTGAGGAACAGATCTAGTCACCTGGCAGTTAATAACAAATTATTTTTCATCTTAGTGTCCAGTTATATTTTATTAATTGCAGACATGAAGCCCTTGATATACACAGATAAATGTAATATTTTCCTAAAAGTCAAGACTGTAAAATTCCAAACAGGCAAAGTTCTTCCATCAGAGAATTCATTCAAGGTAAATTGGGTGGCTCCCTGGTCTGTTCCAAGGACAATAGGAATGCTCTCCCTAAAGTGTTTCCAGGTGCTGCCTATTCACCCAGGCGCCTCTTTTCCTGAAGAACCTGGGCTGGGCAGCCAACACAATGGGAATCCTCCCAATCCTCCCTTTCCTCCCTCCATTTGAGGCTAGGTGCTAAAAGGTATGTTAATTAACCTTGAGAAACCAAGTTGCGGTTGTGAGATTCGAACCTGCAAAGTATGATGTAAAGTTGCCTGAATGTCTGGAAAAGTAAGATTGACAGCTGCACTTTGTCTTAGTCCCCTCCTAGCTTTGTGTAAAGTACCTCCCCTAAATAAAAGGAAGGCTCAGAACGAATCCAGGTGCATTACGACTGGCAAGGCATGCATTACAGCATGCAGGGAGCACAGTCCAGCCTTGCAACCATACTGCCTGTTTAGCTAAGATGTTTACTATGCAGGATATTACGTGGCTGAGATGTTTGCAACGCAGGATCTGCCTGATGCCAGTCCAGCATTCACTCTGGTTTTGGAGTGCCTCTTTGTCTCTCTCTTTGCGTCTGTGTGTCTCTTTTGCTATCTCTATCGCCGAACCCCTATGTCGAGGCCAGTCCCCGGCACTTAACAACAATAACAGGTGCCATCAAGTTGGTACTTGTTCATAGCGACCCTATGCACAACAGAATGAAACACTGCCTGGTCTTGGGCTAGCATCACAATTGTTGCCATATTTGAGCCTGTTGATGATACCACTTTGTCAATCCATCTCACTGGGTGTCTTCCTGTTTTTCTCTGACCCTCCACCTTGCAAAACACTATATCCTTCTCCAGTGGCTGGTCCCTCCTGACAATATGTCCGAAGTATGAGAGACAAAGTTTGACCATCCTGGCCTCAAAGGAGCACTTTGGCTACACTTCTTCTAACAAAGATCTGTTGGTTCTTTTGACAGTCCATGGCACTTTCAGTATTCTCCTCCAACACCACAACTCAAATGCATCAATTCTTCAATGGTCTTCCTTACTTACTATCCAGCTTTTGCATGCAAATGTGGTTATTGAAAATACCATGGGTCAGGTGCACCTTAGTCCTCCAACTGACATCTTTGTTCTTTAACACTTTAAATAGATATTTTGCAGCAGATTTGCCTAATGCAATACATTGTTTGATTTCTTGACTGCTGTTTCCATGAGTGTTGATAGTTGATTCAAGGAGAATAAAGTGCTTGAAGACTTCAATATTTTCTCCATTGTTAATAATGTTGTTTATTGGTCCAGTGGTGAGGACTTTTGTTTCCTTTACATTGAGACTCAATTCATACTGAAGGCTGTGGTCCTTGACATTCATCAGTAAGTATTTTAAGTCATCTTCTCAGATTTCT